TTGGCACGGCCGAGTTTGGGGAGTGTGGCAGGTTTGAGGGGCACGGCTTTGTCTGGGCGCTTCGCTTTGCGCCGGTGGGAGCCCAGGGGCTTCTCACGCTCCAGGGTGTGGGATGAGTGCCCAGCACTGCTCTCCGGTGCTCCTCTCTCCACTGCTTTTTCACTCACCAGCCCCTGAGCTGCTGGGAAAAGGGAGAAACAGGATTTAAAATAAAGGAGTAACAACAGGATTGTCCTTAAAATTTTCACTTTTTCACTCATCGGCCCCTGAGCTGCTGGGAAAAGGGAGAAGCAGGAAAAGGTGAAAGCATGAGGGAGGTGAAATAATGGTAGCAGCACCAGGATTCTCCTTAAAACTGTCACTTTTTCACTCATCAGCCCCTGAGCTGCTGGGAAAAGGGAGGAGGAAAAGGGGAGGGCGTGGCCCTGATTGGAGAAGGGTAGGATTAAAAACAATAGAACAACAACAGATTCCCCCTAAAAATCTTGTTCTCCCAAGGAGGAGGAAGAGAGATCCAACGTGGAGCTGATCCCAGTTTGAACTGGAAATGTGGAGATGCCAAGGGGCACTCCAGTCCCAGAATTTTCAATTTAAATTAGGAGAGATCAATAACATTTTTCTGAAGAAAAATAATTAAGGAGAGGGCTGGGGCTTGGGGAAATCCCCCTGGAAACTCGCCCAGATCCTTCAGCCCCTCTTCCCAAACTGCTTTGCTTGAAGCAAAGGAAGGACAGGGGGACGTACAACAAGGAAAGAGATTTTTGGGGGGTCCTTACCCAGGGACATGAGGGTCTCGTAACTCTCGTGCATCACGTCGAGGTACAGAGCCTTCTGCCGCGGATCCAGCAGCACCCAGGGCTCCATGGCAGAGGAAACAACGCACGTTCCTCCCTCGGGGCTCCCCAAAATCCCCTGCAGGGAGGAGAAACCCCTTGAAATCGAGGAATTCCCCCCCCCACACACACAGACAGTGCTTCCCGCTCGAGATTTCACCCTTTTCCTGCGGTCTCCTCCGGGAATGCCGGGTTTTCACAGCCCCTGCATCCAGGACTAATCCTGAGCAGGAGAGTCCTGCTTTGCCCCCGCCGTTCTGGCAGATCCCATCCCGCAGCATCCTCCTCTTCCTCCCGGCTCTCCGCTCCCCGGGAATCAGCGGCGGGGCGCTGGGGGCTGCATCCAGGAGCATCTCCACCCCTGCGGAGCCCAGGCCTCCCTCTCCATCCTGCCTGTCCCTTGTTCCCTCCCCAAAGGAATCAGGAACAGGCCCCGCTGCCGTCTCCAGCCCCGCTGGGAGCCGACCCGCATCCCTGTCCCTCCTTCTCCCCGTTACCTGCCTTCGTCCCCGGCTTCCGCGGGGTTTTTCCGCTTCAAAAGCGTCCTCCGTTCCAAGGCAGGGAGAGGGCGATGCCTAGAGGCCCCCTTGCACCTCAGAGCCTCCCCCAGCAGGACACAATGGAGGCGATGCCGAGCGCGGCTCCGGAAAGCCGAGGGGGAACCGGGAGGGAGAGACGAGAGGCTAAGCAGCAGCTCCGCTCAGCCAGAGCCCTCTAGAGGTAACGCCATCCCAAACCCATCTCCAAACCTCCTACAATCCCTTTGGAACCGCGGGAACGCGCGGGAGCGGTGCCCCCCTGCCCGCCCTGCTCCTGCCCTTTCCCCCGCCTTGTTCCCCCGGGTTGGTACCCAGAGGGTTTGGGGAAGCTCCGCCGGGAAAATTGGGATGGCAGAAGCAGGGATGGATCGTTTGTTGGGAAGGATTTTGCTGATCCCACCCCCCCGCCCAGGTGAGAAAAGGGACTGGTTCCCCTCTCTCAGCAGGCAGGAAGAAATTCGTGTTTTCCACGTGGAAAAATAGCCCTAATGGTGTTTTCCTGGTGAAAATAAGTGGTTTTTCTCCCCTCAAAACTCCAGGTGAGCTGGTTACCACCCCACGAATTAAAACTCCTCCCTGGGAGGAGGAGTTCATTTCTTGCATTCATTTCTTTCATTATGCCCCCAGTCCCAAAAGTGTTGCGTGCGACAGGTGTATCCAGGGAATCCTCTGGCCAAGCAGGAAATGATGGACAAGTAAATGCTTTGAAAGCACATCTTTCCTCACCAGGACCTGCCCAGGGCTCTCCAACCTGTGCCTGCCGGCCCAGAGACTCATTAGGGCTAATTACCTCATTAATAAATCCACACGGGGTTTTCCCTCCTGGTGCTTTACATAATCTCAGTCCCTTTTCATCTCCACAGGGAAACGCTCCCAGGAGAGCCCCCTCTACCATTCCAGGTGCCCTCCAACACGCTCATGATGCCCCACACAACACGTGGAATGAAACCCCACTTTTTTTTTCTTTTTTTTTCCCCAACTTTAAAACCAGGCAAGAGCGATTTGGAAAGAAATCCCCATCTCTTCTCCCACCCTCTGATTCCCTGCCTTGTGATGCAACTGGTGCCAGGCTGCAACTCACCTTCCCGTAACCTTCAGGGAATCAACAGATGCCAGCAGGAAGATGGGAGGGACAACTTTTGCAACTGGTGGATTGTTGATGCCCAGAAAATGATGATGTCCCCGTCACTGAGGTTGATCCCAAAGCAGCTTGCTGGGGCATGGGTTAATCCAGGTTTTATCAAGGCAATCTGAAATCAGCTGCCTTCACTCCAAACTCTCTGCCTTTCCTGGAAATATGCATCTGGGCCAGTTTCACCATGTAATTCCCAAATGTCTCAGGATTTGTTTTTCCAGGTGTGGTTTTGGAAGTTGGTGTTGACACCCCACGGAGGAACAACCAGCAAACCATAAATCATAAATCATAAAGCCAGACCCAAACCCAAAAAATGATACTTTTACTTTTTTCCAATCCAGCTGGTGGATTTTCTTAAATGGTGACATGCTCCAAGGCAAAAAAAATCAAGAAAAACCTTCAGTCCTTCAGTTTTTCTCAGAAGAAAACATCCCAAAAATGTTTGTCACCCAATTTTAACCAAGACAGCACAGGAAGGAGTCAAGAAACCATCAAGGACCCCGAAAACATCCTGTGACTCACAGGACTGCATCGTTCCATCGTGAACCTCCCCACCCTGGGGGATGTACCACCTGAATCTGAGCACACACAATCTCAAACACATGTAATCTCATAATATAATGACTTGGGACACCAAGTAATTAATAAAACTGCAAGCATCACTTCAACTGCCCTGAAACTACTGCTTAACCCGACTGTGACCACCACCCTGCCTCAAAGGGCCCAGGCTATGCTCTCACTGTGTGGTTTTAAGCCAATTTTCTGTATTTCTGTTGCATTTATTGTGATTTTTCTATTAAATTGTAACTATGACTTAAAATCTCTCACAAGGGATTTGTGTGGGGTTGATTTCCCCCGCTGGGTTGCCTTCAAACCAGCACAACCAAGACCATGGCATTGGGAATCCTGCAGGAACCACAAAAATACCCCCACGCACCACCAAAGAGCAAAATTCTGGGCAAAACCCTCCAAAATGCTCCCTAAATTTTGTTTGACTGAATGTTCCTTCATCCTGAGATGGTTTATGATCATATGTAGTGAAATCCCACAGTTTTGTGGTGATTGAACAGGATAAAATATGGTGAGAGCTCCAAGCAGGAGCTCTTGGTCCAAGAACAAAGAGATGGTTCCTCAGATGAGTTTATGGTGCTTTGGCACCATATTCTGGAAAAATACTGGTCTCATTTCTAGGAAAAATACCCAGTTTTTGCCATTTCAGTGAAGTTCTGGGTGATCTTCAAAGTCTCCTTCCCACTCAAACAATTTGTCACCTCCTCTGTTACAATGGAGGCAAGATCAAGCCAAAACTGCCAATACCTAAGAGCATCCAGCGGATGAATTTTCCCCAAAAATGCTCATTTTCACCCCTGAAATCATATTTTGAAAGTCTCCCTGGGGTTCAGAAAGCTGCCCCTGATAGCTGAACAGATTTCAGCGGTCTTTGTGCAATACCAGGAAAAAAAACCCAAACCCAATTGTTCCCTTCTGGGAAATTGCTGCCTCTGGAGGAGCAGGGTGCGGTTACAGTGTCTGGGTAAACATGGTACACCCCAAAGCATGCTCTGGACAGCTGACTTTGCTCCAGTGACTAAAGGGGGACAAAAAAAAAAAAAAAAAAAAAATCCAGCAGAGGAAATTGACTCTGCTCAATTTCTGGTTCCCCTTCTGATGACAAATCACACTTCACTCCCTTCCGGGTTGCACTGATTGGCAGAGGGATTTTTGGAAGCACCAGGTTGCTTCTCTTTTTTTCCCCCTCTTAAGCTGGGGTATAAAATGAATTGCAATCTCAGCAGAGGCTTCATCTTCCTCCTGGAGCGATGACTGGGACTGGTGAGTGATTCCTCCCCTCGAATCCTGAGATCTCGGTGGGCTTTTTCCTGGATTTCTTTCATCTTTGCTGTCTGGGTTTGGTGTTTGGGTTCCAGCTCTTTGCCAGGTCTCCCTTTTTCCAGCTGGGCTGTTCCATGGTCACCTGGAGGTCCAGGCACCTTCCCAAAAAAATCTTCTTTTGGGAAGGTGGAGATGCTGCACACCTCCCCAAAAAAAACCCACCTGACGGAAGGTGGAGATGCTGCACAGCTCCCCAAAAAAATACCTGATGGAAGGTGGAGATGCTCCACATCTTCCCAAAAGACCACCTGATGGAGGTGACACCTCCAAGAGCTGCTCCCAGGATATTTGCTCTGATCTCCAAACAGTATCTCCCAAATGGTCCATAGGTTTTTTTTCCAGGTCAATCCAACCTTATCCCACTGTTAACAGGATTTCTGGAGCAAATTCTTCCTAAATATTTTTCACACTCGTGGTTGGTGTCTTGATCAACTTGAGGGGCTGTTGAAACACCTGCCTCAGATGTTGGATGATAAAGGCTCCAAGGGGGATTCCTGGAACCACTGCAGTTCCAAAGTTTTTTTTTGTTTTTCCCTGGAAGAAGATTGGTAGCACTCAGGAGAAGGAAACGAAAATGAAAGTTGCTCTTTATTATTTTGAAAAACAGAAACCAAAACTAGGAATATCCCAAGGCAGAGGGCAGAGGAGGGAATGGGGGACAGGAGGGGACAGAGTTTGGTTCTCAGCCCAAATTTTCTTCCACTGGGAAAATGTTAAATAAGCTTGTGTCTGTTCTGGTGGAAATAGTAATTTTGGGTCTGTGTGCTGCTCCCTGTGGGCATCTGAAAGATACAGTAATTTTAAAGGAGAGGATTTTAAATTGAGAGGGATTTTTAAAAGGAGGGGATTTTAAAGGAGAGTAAAATTCTCTAAAATGAAGTACAAAAATTTTAATTAGGGAATTTTAAAGAAGATAAATCCCATCTCTCTTCATCCCTCCAATTCATCCACCTTTCTGTGAAATTTTATCTCCAGCTCTCCTGTCTGTGCAAGTCCCCATCAGATCCATCTGCCCAATCCTGTCTTTTCCCTCCACCCTTCACATAAAAACTCCCCAAATTACCCAGGTATGGGAAAGGTCACTGGTAACAACGAGGTACCTCGGTTCTTTCACATGAGTGACACTAATTACTATTCTTGAAAGCTTTGGGTCTTATTCTAAGAAGGTCAGAGTCATTCTGGGAACTCACCACAACAGCTGTACGGATATGGAGAACCAAAAAATCATCTGTGGGCTGATTTCTCCTAGAAAATGGGAATCGCCCTCACTGACACCTCCTGACACCTTCCACAGTGGACCTGCTCCAGCCAGGAGTTTCACAACCACCCCAGTTCCTCTTTTTACATCTTGGATGCCAACAAAGTTTGTGCCAACACCACATTCTTGCCTTCCCTCCTCTTCTTCCCTCCCCAGCTGTTTTCCAGATCCTCCTGCTGGCGGGTCTGCTGAGCGCCCAGCGGTTCCCGTGCTTTCCTGAGTATTGTCTCCACGACCAGGACTATGAGGAGCTGCTGCAGATTGCCCGGGATGGGCTGGAGCCCGCGGCCCGCCCGGCGCACGTGGTCGTGGTGGGCGCTGGGATCGGCGGGCTGACGGCGGCCAAGCTGCTCCGCGACGCCGGGCACGAGGTGGGGAATCCCACACGGGTCTCCCAGGCTCGTTTCCCTCCTCTAGAAGCCCTCCAGGGAAAAGTAAATTCAGTGGTTCAACCCCTGAAGGAAGGGAAGGAGATTTGTCTCCAGTAATTTCCCCTATGTTGGTTCCTGTGAATCAAAAGAGTCCTTTAAATTCTGTCTTTAGGGCAGCGGAAATTCCAGGGGTTTCCAAACCATCCCAAGGCACCTGTGAGTCTCAAAGAGGGTTTGCAAGTCATGTGGGGACAGATTGGTGCTGATTTCAGAGCCCCAAAACCTTGAACCACCACAAGAACCTTCTCACCAGAGCTGGTGTCTAAATGCAACCCAGGAATTGGGAAATGAGAAACTGCCCCGGAGGCAGAGACGTCTTGGTCAGCAGAGAAGGGTTTGGATCTACAGGTGCTTCATTTGCCACCTGAAGGGGATCTGTCCCACCCTCTGGACCTGGTTTTGAGGGAGTTTCACTTCAAACAAGCCATTTCCCAAACTCTTCCAGCCTCCATCCAATTTTTTCTAGGTCACCATTCTGGAAAGGAGCAGCTGGGTTGGGGGGCGGATCCGGACGTACCGGCCCGAGGGGCAGGACTGGTACGTGGAGCTGGGAGCCATGCGCCTGCCAGGCAAGCACAGGTGAGGCCGTGTCCACCCCCGTGGCCAGGTGAGGGACCAGCCCAGTCTGGGGGGAAAATCATCCCCAGTGCTTCCCCAGGGTTCAGGATTTGTGCCAAGGGGACAAAATGCTCTGGTGGCAGAGCTGGGGGTTGGTGGCTGGATTTCGGCGCCATCACTCAGCCCTTTTTTCCAGGCTGGTCCGCGAATTCATCCGCCAGTTCAACCTGAAGCTGAACCCTTTCATCCAGAGGGACAACAACACCTGGTACTTCCTGAAGGGTGCTCGGGTCAGGGCTGAGGAGGTCAACAGGAACCCTGATGTCCTGAATTACACGGTGAAGCCATCGGAGAGGGGCAAGAGCCCCGTCCAGCTCTACCGGGAGGTCCTGAGCAAGGTACAAGGTTTTCCCGTGGTGTCCCCTCGCCTGAACAATGAGATGAGTTGGAGAAAACTTGGCCATAAATTGGGGAAGAACAGGGTCCTTTTGGGGGTCAAAAGTAGAGAGGCTCAGAAACAAGGGCAGACAGTTGCAAAACCCCTCTTTGTCCATAAGAAATCCCTTGGAAGGAGTCCACTTGGATGAGCAGAAAATGCCACACTGAGGCACAGCTGCTTGAAACTTGATGTACAGAAGCTGTAAGGGTTACCAAGCCCTGAAATCCTGAGAGAATTTTGGACAGCACTTTTGGAAATTGATCCTTTTCCAGTGAATACATCAATGTTTCTTCTTCAGGCTTTTAAGAAGTTCCAGACCACTGACTGCAGGAAATATCTGGCTCAACATGACTCCTTCTCCACCAAGGTAATGGGCTTGGGCTCGAGGATAAATTTAATACCAGCTCTTGATAATTAACCTGCTCACTCTAATCCCTTCCTCTGTCACCTTTTGGATCTGCTTATAAAAGGCTGAAAAAGGGGCCAGCACAGCTCCAGTGGAGCCCTAGCTGAGGTAACAACCTGTGTCTCTCTCTCCTCCTGGGATCTCCAGGAATATTTGACCAAGGTTGGGGGGCTGAGCCGAGGAGCTGTTGAGATGATCGGTGACTTGCTGAATGAGGACTCGGGGTTTTACCTGTCCTTCCTCGCCTCCCTGTGGGACTTTGACATCTTCTCTGAGGAGACGTGAGTGCTGTCCCTGCAGCCCAACCCCATCCCCACAACAGAAAATGACAGAGTGATCCCAAACAGGACCCACTTGCAGCTCAATCTGACCCCCAAGCTCCACTGGTGTCTCCAGAGGAGCTCAGGTTTTTATTTTTACACTCCCTAAACCCCCCGTCCTTCCCACACCTCCCACTTCTCCTCCCCTTCCAGTTTTGATGAAATCACCGGAGGGTTTGACCAGCTGCCCAAAGCCTTTCACAAGGCGCTGCCCAACATCATCCGGTTCAACTGCACCGTGGAGAAGATCATGAGCAAGGGCAGCAAAGTCCGAGTGTTCTACCGCGCTCCAGACACACTGTCCCCCACCATCATCACTGCAGATTACGTCCTTGTCACTTCCAGTGCCAAAGCCACCAGGCACATCCAGTTCCTGCCGCCGCTGTCCCCTGCCAAGGCCCACGCCCTGCGTTCCATCAACTATGCCAGCAGCACCAAAATCATCCTGGCCTGCTCCGAGAGGTTCTGGGAGAAGGACGGGATCCGCGGGGGGTACTCGGTCACCGACCGCCCCTCCCGCTTCATCTACTACCCCAGCCACAATTTCTCCAGCGGCGTGG